CAAAAAAAAAAAAAAAAAAAGCGTGTGTGTGTGTGTGTGTGTGTGTGTAAGTAAAAACCAGGCCCACAGAGTTTATTTTATCCCCTTCAAAAGAAAGGGAACAAGATGGGGTATTTTTTTTTTAAACATTACTAGAAATATCAGGAATGACAAGTTTGTTCTTCCCTGGTTTTGCTGGAGAACTTCTTAGGGGTGGAGGGGTTCCTCAGGAGAGGTGTATTGCAAGTCCCCAGGCCAGAGAAGGAGCACATGTGTTGCATTGCATTTAACAAAAACAGCTTTCCCCCCCCACCCTCAAGTGTTCATTATGCCTTGGAGTGGAAGGAGGTCTGGTCTACACACAGTTTTTGTACCAGTATAAATTGTGTCACTGGGGAATGTGTGATTTTTTTAAATATGCAGTTATACCAGGGTACATGCGCTTATAATGATGTAGCTTATTTCTGTATGGGAAGGGGAATAAGCTATACCAGTATAAGCATAGTTACACCAGTGCAACTACTCACTCAGAGCTACGCACTCAAACTCACTCAACTACGCACTCAAGGGTGGGGTTTGTACTGCATTAACTATACCCGTATAATTAAAGTTGTACAACTTGTGTGTTTAGACAAGGCCTACGTGGTAACAAAAAACCCCAAAGGAGCCTTCCCATTTCAAAAGTCGTGGTGGTAGGGCGGGTGCTTTTTACATGGAATTTCTTGCAGCAATTACTTCAAACTATTTTGCCAGGGGTGGGGTGTAGACAAGGTTCTTTCTAATCTGGTAGATCTCCCTTCCCTCCCTCCTGCCCCACCGGATCTGTGTGATATCAGGAACATATATGGAGGGCCTGCACAAACTTTGGTCACTGGCAGTACCCCCTCCATTCTCTAAGCTACATATCTGGCCCCTTTTACCATAGTATCAGAGCATCTCAGTCTTTAATGCATTTATCCTCAACTCCCCTAGGAGGTAGGGAAGTGCTGTTATCCCCATTTGACATTTGGAAAACTGAGGTACAGAGAGACTAAGCGACTTGCCCAAGGTCACACTGGAAATCTGTGGCACAGCAGGCAACTGAACCCAGGTCTCTCAAGTCACAGGCTCTGTCCCTCCACGCCCAGCACAGATCCATTGGAATCATGATACTAGGGATTACCATCCGGCTGCACAGTTCCCAGGGAATCCCATGGTGGGGAAAAGCTTATGTAGTCTTTGGTTGTATTATCTTTCCATAGGACTTGGGAGGGAGTGGTGAAGGAGACCCAGCCTGCACTGACTACAGAGAGCTGGGTGGTGATTGAGTGATGGTATCATGAAACAAGACTCCCCGTTCCACCTGAAGGAAGGGAGTAGGCAGACCATTCATCCTGATTTAAAATGAGCAGTCCTGTTTTTTTATCGTTTATCCCTTGTCTGGTACCGAGACAAAACTGAACATGATTTTAATAGAGTTTCATGCATGGAAAACGCCCTTTTTAAGAGTGCCCTGCTCCTGCTGGCAGGACTACACACACCCTGGTTGAGAGGTCCTGCTGACAAGGCGCTCTTCAAAATGGCATCCTCTGCGTGGTGTGACCTCACACGCAGCATTTAAATCAATGGGAGTTTTCCCACTTTGAGAGTAGGAAGAGACCCTTTAAATGTCATAAGGCTGAAAAGACAATCCTTTTAAAAAAAGAAAAAACCCACAGTGACAAAGTCAAAGCAAATCGGGTGCAAAGAGGAGCCATTAGCTAAAATGCAGCAAGGAGAATGTTTCTGTTTACCAAGTTCCCTGAACCATGGTCAGTTTCCATTTTTAATCTGAAAAATCTGCTAAGGAAAGCAAGTTACTACAGAGTGATTGAAACTTTTTAACAATAATAAATACCTAGAAATGTTGATCTTCAAATAGCTTTACAAATATCAGTCACTCGGTGGCTGTGCGAAGTATTTCTTGTCCCATTTTTTCACTGAGGCGGCATCTGGAGACCAAAGGTAAGCAATTTACTCTAAAGCACAGAGATTGTGTCAGAATCAATAGCAAGATCTAATCTAGACTGAAGGGGTGTGTCTGAAAGCAGTGGATTATTTTTCTTATTCTTAAAAAAAAAAAAAATTAAGCTTACAAGGTTTTAAACACCACCAAGTATCTAGTGAAGATGAGGTTGAAAACATATCTTCCCCTAGCATTGACCGTGAAACAGAAATATTTTTACAAGGTGGTGTTAAATCCAGTTTACACTAGGTGCCAAAAGATGCTTAAAATTCTGTTAACCATAGGAAAACATTTTGTGTGTGTGTGTGTGTGTGCGCGCGCGCGGCGTGCACATGCATGTGGCTATCTACACACAGAAGTTGCAAAGGTTTAAACTTAAATTGGTTTTAAAAGGATTTAGCCCAACTGTTGCAAATCCCTGCCTGGGCACTGTTCGACTGGTTTAAACCTGTAGCTGTTTATCTTGCTCTGCAGAATACATCTTTTGTTAAACCAGTGCAACTTTATGTGTAAGTCAGGCTCTAGTGTAGATCAGGCCTAAAATACAGGAGTTTCTGGTTCCTGCTATTGTGCTCACACCACACCAGTCAGGTTTTACAAAAACCAACCTGGTGTGGGAGGGGAAGAAGATGGGTGAAGTGGAACTTATATGGAGGACACACTTCCAAGCTTTAAAAGCAGGCTGGATGATTTAAATTGACTCTAAATAAATTAAAAGGGGAAAAAAAGAAACCCCCACAACCTATACTCCATCTGTGGTGATGGATCACTGTTTTGAAAGGACTTGGAAGATGCCAATAAAAAATCCCCACCTAAACAAAAGTCTCCACACACTACACAAAGCAGGCTCCTTCTCCATTCCCTTTCCCTAAAGAGAACCAGACACATAAAAGAACCCCCGCACCCCCCCCCCAAAAAACACACCTAAGATTTTACTTAATATTTGCTCATATGGGGCCAGATCTTCAGCTAGTGTAAACAGGCATGGCTCCATTAAAAAATAAAGTGACTACATCAATTTACGCCAATTGAGGGTCTCTACGCAAAAGAATAAATGGACACAAATCAGATGTCAAGATTTCTAACATTCAAAAACCAGCCGGAGAACACTTCAACCTCCCTGGTCACTCAATTACAGATCTCAAAGTCACAATACCCCAACAACAACAACCTTCAAAACCAGACTCCAACGAGAAACTGCAGAATTGGAATTAAGTTGCAAACTAG